TCACATCTTGGAAGCCTCCAGGTCAACCCTGAATTGAACCTGGCTGAGTTTCCCTGTGGGAACCAAGGACATTTTCACAGGTGGCTGCCCAGAGGAGGAGCAAATAACCAAGCAACCGGCCAGCAACCTGGATTGGACAGCATGACCGGTGACTTGGGATGGGAAACTTTTACTGTTAATCAGGTGAAAGCTGCGGGAAATTTCAGAGTCGGCTTTCACCAGTTGTGCCAACATGAAGTATCCAATAAACTGTCCTTTGAGGAAGCTGCCTACCTCGGAGTTCTGTTTCCTATGGGTCCTTTACTTGGAATGCTGACATCCTGTTTAGACATGGAAGGTTTCTACTCAAGCATTGCTTGGGTTCAGGTCTTACAAACAGTTCATTCTGCTGAGACATGCAACACCTTGTCAAGAAGTGTTGGGTGCCGTCTGTAACAGCAGCTGCCCTGGTGTCAGGGTTCCAACAAACAAACTCCAACCCAATAAACTCCGAGATAAGCATTTTCTCAAAGTTGCATTTCATTAGAGTTGTCATACTGGCCCTTCTGGGAAAACCCAAATCTGAGAGTTCCAGGTTTTCCCTTCCCAAAAGAGAAAGATCTGTCCCCTGCACCCACTGGTCCATTACATGGCCCAATTAAATCTTCGTCCCAGGTGCAGGGCAACATGTCCTTGACTCTCTGAGAAAATGTTGTTGAGTCTAATCTTCCAACTCTCTACTAAACCCCCCCTTCCAAATTCCCAGGCACTAAATATGGCAGTCTCAGAAAATATGGCTTCCAAGGATGACACCTGGATTTCTTTTTGGTCCCTGAGATGGGGAAGGAGAACATTCGAAGTGCTTCTGCAGGAGGTCCACCTGGAGACAGCTATCTCCAAGGGAGGGAGGATGCACTGAAGCCCTTCCCAATATGCAAAGCTCTATGTGCTGTCATGGGTAGTTCTCCCCTACCGTGAGGGGAGGAGGGGTTTCTCCTCCAATGTGACTTCATCCAAATCAGGGACCCCCAAACTTGGCCACTTTTAAGACCTGTGGACTTCAATTCCCAGAGTTCCTCAGCCAGCTATGCTGGCTGGAGAATTCTGGGAGTTGAAGTCCACAAGTCTTACAGTGACCAAGTTTGGGGACCCCTGATCCAAATCAAAGGAAGTTCAGGGCAAGGAATGGGCAGGGTCTCCACACAAGCCCTCAATTGCTGTCCCACCAGCTTTCTCACTGGTTGGGTGGAAGATGGCCGGGGATCACGCTTAATGTTTTGTGAAGGAGGTGCTTGTCATTTACAGACAATATTTATACATCAATAAAAGCAATACAACCATAAAGAGGAAAAAAAACATAAACAAGCACAGCTTGATACAATAATATGCCATGAAATATCATTGGCTTTATAATAATTTACTACAATGTGAAAAAAACAAAACCCCAAGATCTTTTATCCACACAGAATAGGAAATGCTTCCATTTAAAATATGGCAAGCACACAATAATAATATATACACCACAGATTTGGAATTTCGCTTTGTGCCCAGGACTCCTGCCTCCTTGTATTTGTGCATCTTCTTTTGTCTGGATTTACACTTTTTAAAAAATTATTATTATTTTGTACTCTTTCCCCCCCCTCCCCGTAGAAATTTATATTCTTTTTGAGTCTAGAATTGAGAAGATGAAAACGTTTAATAAAACCAGATGCTATTTAAAATTGCACTCCCTCTCAAGCTGTCCCCATGCAGTTAGCAATAATAATAATAATAAAAAAATATGCTGGGGTTGTTTTTCAAAGCACATTTTGAGGCACCGTGGATCAACTCTAAGGAGTAAAACTTAACTTTGATAAGACACGACTACAGCGATATTATTTCTGAGCGCAGTCTGAAGAGAGGCTATCCGTGGGGAGGGGGGACAGTCAATGGAAGATCCAACCTTTTTTTTTTTAATAACACATCAAAAGGTAAAGCTTTGATCCAGAAGTTGTGGGTGCTCCATCCCTGGAGCTGTTTAAGAAGAGACTGGAAGGGTAGAGGGTCTCTTGCTTGAGTAGGAGGCTGGACTAGAAGACCTTCAGGGTTCCTTCCAGCTTTATTCTGATTGATTGATCACAAGAGTTTTGGACCACTGACTTGACTTCACCTCCGCTGGGGATCTCGCTCTGCGGTTGACTCGTCTTCCTGACACAGTCTGACAAAACCACGGAGCTCCTTTTCTGGAGTTCCCATCCCTCCCTGCCAGCTTCTTGGTTTATTCCAACAAGCTCACATCTGGAACAAACCCAGATTAGCTACTCAAGTCGATTGTGGCCCCCAACTGTTGCTAACCAGCCAAACCGGGTGTCATGGCTTCTCTAAGAGGTAAACCTGGGTGATCAAATGGATCCCAAGCTGCAACCCAAAGGAAGGATGTTTCCCGAGAGGGAGCTCACATGGCAGAGGCCGAACGGGTGTGTGTGTGTGTGTTGGGAGAGTGAGTGGGTATTCACTGTTCTGCCTGCAGAGACAGCAGTTCCCTGTGCTGGAAGGAAGATCCACGGAAAGAGCAACTGGGTCTTTTCTGTGGTGCTGAAGAAGCAGCTCTGGGTAGGGGTCCCCCCCCCCCCCCCCCAATAAAATGGATTTCCCCTCCCAGGAAAATCATTTTTTTCATGCTTAATGTTAACCGTGTCCTTTCATGCTTTGCCCTTTTGCCCTTTGAGGACGGAATGAGCAGAGACCGTCACCTGTTTTACAGTTTTACTTCGTTAGTAGATCACTGGGAATCCCTCTGTCTCTGCTGGCATGAAAATAGATCAGGTTGAGAGCTTCAGCCTTAGAAAAGAGCCTACGGAGTTAAATCGTTGCAATGTGCAGTCAAAAGCCAGGCAGGAACTCCCAAAAGGACCTCCATGAGTTGGTCCATTCTTTAAAAACAAAAAACAAAATCTGACTTTTCACATCTCACTTTGCAGAGGTGGGGGTGTGCTTTGCACACAACGCAACCTCCTGCATTTCTCATTTGCAAGTTATTTTCTACTTTTCTTCTATCCATCACAATCAAAACAGTCCCAAAGCACCCAGAGTTTTAGAGGCCAGAACTGAAGGTGACAATTACACACTGGCTGAATGTCACCCCCCCCTCCCCCATGAAACCTTAAACCTGGGATAAGAAAAGCAAGCCACTCTGCCCAAACGGCTCAAGCAAACTCTGGTTTGATGGGATGTCTGAATTACAAAACACAGGCAGTCCTCGACTTAAAACGGTTCATTTAGTGACCAGTGTTACAACGGCACTGAAAAAAGTGACTTGTGACCATTTTCCACAGATACGATCGCTGCGACAAGAAAGGTCATAAATTGGGACAAAACTAACTTAACAATTGTCTTGCTTAGTAACATCAATTTTGGGCTCAATTGTGGTCGTCGTAAGTTGAAGACTGTCTGTATTCCATCCAGTGGTGGGATTCAAATAATGTAACAACCGGTTCTCTGCCCTAATGATTTCTTCCAACAACCAGTTCACCAAACCGCTCAGAAAGTTAACAACCAGTTCTTGTGAACCGGTGCGAACCGGCTGAATCCCACCATTGATTCCATCCCATTTTAACCTAGGCTAATCTGGTGAGTGAACCCAGCCAGGACGACATCATCGGATCTGTTTCTGCCGGTCTCTCTCCATTTCCCGGAAAATATATCTTTAAGACTGAGAACACAATCTAGACAAATTCTCTCTGCCTCCACTCTCTTTCTAGACATCCACCGCACAATCCACAAAGTCATGTCAACATATATATGAACCCGCTTTGGGGGGAAAAAACCCCCATCTTTGTTATTGTCTCCAATAAGCCAATCATTTTTCAGCACTTCCAAAACCCTTTTCGTTCTTTCGTTTTCCCTTCTTGATTGCTCTTTTTATGGCAAGAGAAAAACCAGCAAAAAAATGGAAAAAGGAAAACAAAGGCAGACGAAGAAATGGAAATAAAGCAGTCTGAACCCCCTCTCCCTGCATAGGAATCTGTTTTGGAGCAGAGCAATGGCATAATATAAACCGTACCTGGGAGTCCGACAATCCGTGTTCTAACTATAGTTATTCAGAATAAAAAGGGGGAAAAAAACAACAATCACTCGGCGTATATAATTGTCATGTTAATCCAGTTCTCTCAATCTCACCCTGGTTGACTCTGGTGTCCCGTGGTCAATCTGGGTTGGTTATTTTTCTAAGCTGGCCAGCAGGAAACTTCACCCAGAATTTGACCCATTTGGTCACCTCTGTTAAGAGCAACCTGAGGAGGAGAGCATGTTGGGCGTTATTTCCAGCGGTTTTGTGTTTTTCCTATAAAATCAGCTGCTCCTTGATGCTTTCAGGTGTTTAGAAATTAGCACAGGATGTCTGCCAATGGTGGAACGTCTTCCCATCCTAGCCTGGCTCTCCAACTTCCTCGATCGCCTGTCCTGAGCTGAAGAGCTACACGGGTTTGTTTTCGGTGTTGCAAAGTGGGAGGCCCTTGGAGTCTCTGGTCTCCATCCATGGTCGTCTCCTGTACTTCTTGCAGCAACGCACCCAGTCCAGACCCATGAAAAACATCATCCCCCTGGTAGAAGATTCCAGCAGCATCGGCCCAGTTGGTAGGAATGGCCTTGTGTTGGGCTGCAAGTGGATTCTGCGATCCCAAGAAGGATCTTCTGGAGACATTCCCACCACTAATTCACGGGGAAAGCCATTTTCTATTTGGCTTTGCCCATTGATGCCATTCTCTCCCGTCTTTATCCTGCAGTCTTCATTCTGTCCCCTTCCTTCCTAAGAATTGCAAAGATTTTTGGGGAACTGAAAACGGGATTTAAGATTTCCAGTCATGCTGAGGCATCAGAGTTTCTTTTCTTTCTTTTTTCTTTTTTTAAAAAAAAGTAACGGTAAAAAGCACTTTCTTCTTTTCGTTGCCCAGAACGCGAAAAGGCCACTTCTGTTCATGGAACCGAAACGGTACGGTGGGAAATGGCTGGAGAAGTGCTTCTGGGGGAGAGCGGCTTGGCCTTTAGACGGAAGGGCGGGGAGGGGGTCGGGAAGGGGGAGGAGCCCGGTTAGGGGGAGGAGCGTGAGGAGGGGGCGGAAGCAGTGTGGAAGGGGGGGAAGGGGTGGGGGAGCTTGGGGATGGCGGGGTGTAGATGGGGGCAAGCGGGGGAGGGTTGTAAGCAGGGGCTGGGGGCGGGGGTGGAGGGTGGTAGGAGTTGTTGAGGGGGTATCTGGGGGGCGCCTGGGAGGTCTTCACTCGAGTGAAGTTAATGCAGCGACCCTGAAAGACAAGCAAAAACGAGATCTTAAGGCAGGCCAATGCAAACACAGGACACACTGCAAATTTTCAATGCCTTGGGAAGAGGAGAGGAAAGAGAGAGGAGAGGAGAGAAGAACAGAGTTGGAAGGGGACCTTGGAGGTCTTCTAGTCCAACCCCCCGCCTAGGCAGGAAACCCTACACTTCAGACAAAGGGTTGTCCAACATCTTTTTAAAAACTTCCCAGTGTTGGAGCATTCACAACTTCTGGAGGCAAGTGGTTCCACCGATTAAAGAGCAGAGTAGAATATTTTGGGCGAGACAAGGAACAACGGATGGAATCTAATCAAGGAGAGAAGCAACCTAGAACTAAGGAGGAATTTCCTGACAGAACAATTCATCAGTGGAACAGAGCCGGCTTCCAGAAGTTGTGGGTGCTCCATCACTGGAGGCTTTGAAGAAGAGACTGGACAGCCATTTGACTGGGATGGTATAGGTTCTCCTGCTTGAGCAGGGGGCTGGACTAGATGACCTCCAAGATCCCTTCCAGCTCTATTCCTATTCCTATCCTAATCCTATTCTATTCTCTATTCTATTCTATTCTCTATTCTTTATTCTATTTCTATTCTACATTTTCAATAATTAGAGCATCCTGTGATCACTATTTGTGGCCTTTCCTGCTGGCTTTCCACAAAGTCATTGAAGAGGCCAGTGGGAAGTCACTTGTTTTAAGTGACATCGTAACTTTCGAACCATCGCCAACTGAAGTGCTGTAGTGTAAGTTGATGGCTACCTGTCTTTATTGCTACCTGGGCATTAAAGGACTACTTTTATATAGAAAGCAATAAATATTCATAGATAGCAAGGAATATCAGCTCTTGAAAATGTCATTCCTTCCATGCCTGGTTTTGCATGCAAGACTGTGCCGTTGGCACTTTTTAATGCAGAGACTGGAAGGAGGGGAGAGAGAAAATAGTTTTCGGACAGCTTTAAGAGCCCCTGAAGCTTTGAGCTGGAACACATTTGATAGCTGGCCAACAGACGCCTTGAAAAGCCACTGTTTTGTTATGCAAATGCAGAACACAGCTGCAGAATCCCAAAGTGGTTGCCCCAGTAATTAAGGCCCCCATTCCCAATCCTATTAATAATCTTGTTATGGGGAGGGGGGGACAGCCCTGGAGTCTCTTTTAAGGTGGGGAAGGCACATGGGTATTCAGCTATCCTTCTGAAAGTAAAAATAAACCTCATTAATGCTGAGAAAATTGCAAACGTCGGCCCTTGCAAATGCGAGCCAACCATAAGCCGCCCTGTGACCATCGTCCTTCGCTCTGATTGCAAACAGCTGTGCTTGGTGGCATCCTTTCCCCCAAGGAAGCACATTTCACAACTTTGCTCAGCCCTGTCCTTGGAAATGAGCTATTTGCCTTTTGCCTCTCCAGCAGTATCAAAAAAGGAACAATCCTGCCTCAATGGTGCGAGGCTGGGAAGCATGGGCTGAGGAACATGGCCCCGGAGTCGTCTTTGCCACTGTAAGCAGGCCAAGCCAGGGGATTCTGCAGGAAGGAAGGTTTCCCCTCCCGCCCTCCGTAAAAGTCAAATTGTGAGCTTACAACCACATGATGGAAGATTTGCCCTTTATTCTTGCCACATGGTGGTGGCTGCCATCCTGGTAATTTGGTGACCAGCATTGGTGGCAGTGCCTTAGGGTGGCTCTCCAATCCAAAAAGGAAATTGGAGTCAAAGAGAAAGAATAAAACCAGGATCTGAAGGAAGAAGAGGCTGAGTTGTGAGCAGCAGGGTGTGTGTGTGTGTGTGTGTGTGTCTCCTAGAGAAGGACACGGTTTCCTGGTTCCTATCGCAGCATTTGAAATTTGTGAGACAGCAAGAAAATGCTTCATAGAAAATACACGTTTTTCTATGAAGCGTGCTTTTCTGCTCATATTATAGAAAATGCATGTTTAAGTATAAAGCAAAAATATCAGGAATGCTTGGCGCAGATATAATACAGCAGCCTTTGTATCTCTTTAGCCTTAATTCTGACATCATTCCTTTGTTATAAAACTGCTCCAGAGGGACCTTTAACAGCTTTTCAATGGAACAAAATTTAAAGGAACAGGAAACAGATTCAGATCATCAGTAGCCCTGGAACTTAGCTGCTTGCACAGTGAGGATTAGTCTGGCAAACAATACAGACTACACCATAACAGAGTTGGAAGGGACCCCTGGAGATCTTCTAGTCCAACCTCTTTCTCAAGCAGAAGACCATTCCAGAAAATCTCCACTTTGAATTGCCTAACAGCTGAAAAATCCCTTGTCATGCAGACTTTTTATAGTCCCACAAGATTAAAAACCCCAAACCCCAAATAACTATTCTAAGACGGAAATTACACAGTTGTTCATTGTTTTAAATGTTTGGAGTCATTCTTAATCAAAACCATTTTGCCTTTAAGTTACAGACAAGTCAAAGGCTTTTTAATATCACCAAGTCTTTGTTTTCTGTGAATAGCTACACCAAAATGGGTTTCTTTTCTAACATGTCCTCAGTTACTTCATTGTGTGTGTGTGTGTGTGTGTGTTCATTAGAGATACACAATCTTTTGGGGTTGGCTTTTGAGCAGAGGGTCATATTCCAATAAGTGGAAGGGAACAGGAGAAAACCAACTATTGTATGGAATGAATTAAAATGTAATTTTAAATAACTAAATTCCATAAGTATATTTATATATAAATGCATTTTTTTTCTCATATATTTAATAACTTCCCCTTCAATCCCAATTCTCTGACAACATTTACAGCAGTGCTTCTCAAACTTGGGCCACTTTAAATTGCGTGGATTTCAGCTTCCAGAATTCCTGGCAGGCTGGGGAATTCTGGGAAATGAAGTCCGCACATTCTAAAAATGGCCGAGTTTGAAAAACACTGACCTAGAGAGAGGGAAACTCAGAGAATTTGTATGCAGCCCCGAGTGAAGGGTACCTTGTCTCCTGGCTGTGGTCGCATGACGGACACCCGGTCGTAGCCTTTCCTCAGAAGAACCCAGAGGGCATCCAGCTTTCCCTGTAAAACAAGGAAATGGCATCACATACCCGTTGCAAGATCGGCACAAGACAAAAATCAGTTTGCAACAGAGGCAGAAGCTGCAGTGCACAAAAACGCATTAATGTTATAACATCAGAAATCAAAATACCCATCTTGTCTGACATATGAGAGAAAAAAGACACCATCCATCTCCGGCAGGGGTCTCCAACCTTGGCCACTTTAAGACTTGTGACCAACCCCAACAGGAATATTTTGAAGGTCTCCCAGGATCCTTCAGCAAACACTTGAGACGGAAGTGCATCTTCCTCACCTTCCCACAAACACAGAGGAACGATTTGATGGTCAGTCTTCAAAAGGGTTCATGTCAACTCATAAAATATTTCTCTGGTCTTTTTTAGAGTTGCCAACAGAAAGGGAAGGGGGAGCAGTGCAGCCGCTTGCAAAACTGAAAGCACATTCCATTAATGTTTTCAAAGATAGTAACTAGGTCACCTAAGTTTCTGCCGTGCAAAATTCTAACTGGAGAGCATGATTGATGACTCTGGGCTATAGATGTGTCCCATTGGAGAATATGAATTACGATACGCCCAGGGGGTGGAGGGAAAACCAGGGTCAAGGGTGACAATGAATGATGTGTCTCAGCGTCGGCTGCACCCAGGCAGCGCTGGCATGTCTACTCCTAATAAATCTTCTTTAAGCTTTGGGAATCCGGCTAGAGACTCACGATTTAAATGGGTGTAACTACCATAGCCCTGACAGTCCATTTCTCTAGGGTCACTCAAGCTAAGGAACCCTCCATGGACCAGGGAGATATTTCTAAAGTACGTCCAGTTCAGAAAATAAGTAGGCAGCCACAACGAGCCGACTGGGTTGCACGGAAAGCCATGTTGCAAACCTCTCTTAAGTAGGAGGGTTGTGGCTTTTTTGCATAGCTCCCTTGCACCCACAGACACTACTGGTGAATGTAAACACGCCCAGGCCTGTCTGGAGAGCATGTCTCATTTTTTCCCCGTGCTACAACAGACAGCCCAAAGGATGCACAACACAACAGAGAGAGCAGATGTCAAGATTCCTGCTCCCTCCTGTAAGTCTCACAGTGATTGTGGGTCTGTCATTTAGTCTCTCAGATGAAGGAGGAGAGGCTACGTCAACTCACGAAGGTTCCTCAAACAAATGTGGATAAACAAAGGAGCATGTCTTACAATGGCAACGTTCCAGATTTCTTAACTATAAAGGAGAAAATAACAATGGAAAGTCATTTTGATAGGGAAAAATATGGGCCCCTTGCTGTCTTCTTATTGTAACGTGTTTGTAGAGGCTGCTCTTCATCCAAATAACCATCTGCAAGACTTAATTTAAACCAGGTTCTGCGTCCCAGAATGTGATTTTGGTACCACATTTCTCTTTGTTGCTACAGCAGTTTTTAATACCCCCCCCAGAGCCTACAAGAAAATGTGCAAAGTCTTCAAAAATGGCTCCCAGAAGAGAAGGGACATAGAACCACAAAACCTGTGCATTGGAAGGACCTCATGGGTTATCTAATCCAACCTTTTTGGGGGGATAGGGATGCCAGGAATGATCCAGAACAAGAGGCCATCTAAGTCTACTGATGTAGACCAGAATGTCAACTCATAAAACATTTCTATGCCCATTTTATAGTTGCCAACAGAAAGAGGGAGGGGAAAGGAGTAGGAAAGAGCAGTGTAGCAGTTTGGAATCGAAAGTGCATTCCATTCATATTTTACAGAGATTGTAACTGGGTGACTGAAGCTTCCGCTGCGCAAATCTCGAATTGGAGAATGTGATTGATGACTCTTGGCTATGGACGTCTTTCGCTGGAGAATATGAATTATGATACACCCAGAGGGGTGGGGGATCATGGAATCCTGACACAGAGGTTCTCAACCAGAGTCCATAACGGACCAAGCCACAGCTGATGGGTCCAGGATAGTGGGGGAGTTCAACCACGATGTGAGATAAAGGCAGATTGTTTTCTCCCACTTCATGGTCCAACATCTCAACTGGTTCATTGCTGTCTCTGGGTTGAGAAAGCGCAGGAGCTTTTTGGATCCAGTGAAAGGGACTCTCCCAATTGAAGGATGCAGACTCTCCCCATGTCCTCCAAATGGAAGGGAAGGGGACATGCCTTCACTTGGCCTAGAGTGGCCAATGGAAGCTGGTTGATCGCCCAAGTCCTCTGACAATTCACCAGCAAAAAGACTGGGGAAACACATTAGCTTGTTGGCTTTTTAGGGAGAAGGCCACGAGGAGCTCCGAAGCTGTTGGCCTAGACCTGCTTCTGAGGTGAGTTGGGGAGAAGATGAAGGCAACAATTATGGAGCGGGGATGGGGCAGAAAAAGGAAAGCAAAACATTTTAGAGAAACTAAGATGATCAAAGTCCTGCAGATGAAAACATAGACCAGAGGTCTCCAAACTTGGCAACTTGTGGACTTCAACTCCCAGAATTCCTCAGCCAGCTTCAATTCTGGGAGTTGAAGTCCACAAGTCTTAAAAGTTGCCAAGGTTGGAAACCCCGGACATAGAAGAACGGCTGCAGGATTTGGCTCTGGCTAGTCTAGAAAAAAGAATTAGGGGTGACATGATAGCAGGGCTGCCCCAAAGAAGAGGGGTCAAATTATTCCCCAAAGCATCAGAAAGTAAGACAAGAAACAATGGACGGAAACTAATCAAGGAGAGAAGCAATCTGGAATTAAGGAGAAACTTCCTAACTGTGAGAACAATTAACCAGTGGAACAGCTGGCCACCAGAAATATTGGGCGCTCCATCACTGGAGGTTTTAAAGAAGACACTGGACCAGTCACTTGTCTGAGATTGTATAGGTTCTTTTGCTTGAGCAAGGGGCTGGACTAGAAGACCTCTAAGGTCCCTCCCAGCTCATTCATTCTCTTCTATTTGGAATAAATTAAACATGGCGGTATAGTGGGATATGTGAACTCAGGGCACGTAAATAGTTTGAATTTAGTTTGGAAGCTAACATGCTTCCAACATGTGCAACAGTATTGCAGGAAAAATAGGCAGCCTGCTGGTCCTGGAATTCAGCTACCAAAATATCAAGTTTATTTTTCTTCCTTTAAAAAAAAAAAAAAAAAAGGAATAATATTCTAGTCCTTCTACAACATTGGAATCTTGAAATCCCAATAAATGTCTGGATCGAGTTTCTATTGAACTTTCGTGACCTTCACAATCCCTTCTTTTTTCTCAAGGTCTGGCAAAAGCAGAATTAATTATGCAAAGCCAAGCAAACCCCACCCCCCCAAAAAGAAGTGAAAACAAAATATATTCACGCTAGAAATGCCTAATTTATGCATGCCACAAAACCCAGCTTTTCTTGGCCCAAGAGGCTGATATTTTTAGGACAATCTTTGATCATAACGCAGTATAAGCAGTGCTGGGTGAATATAAAAGGAAATATCAATATAAAATATAATGTATGAATATAAAAGGGGAAAAAATGACACTGCTATAGGCGTACACTACACGCCATCCAACCAAGCAGAAGAAATGGGTGGACTCTTTACTAATCAATGAACAAATGTAGGTATGTAACAAATGTCCTTCACATGCACGTCAAGCTTCACCCTTGAAGTTAGGAAGGTGAGATGGTCACCTGCCCATTTTAGAATAATGCTACGAAGTAGCCTTGAGCATCAGTCAGGGGAATCCAGAAACAAGCCAATCCTTGGATGGGTCCAGAGATAACAGGCTGGAAGTTATTTGCTCAAAATTGGAAAAATGAAAAGATTCCGGTGGTGGAGAAGGAGGAGATTAAGAAAACAATGGAATGTGCAGAAATGAGTAAATTAACACTGGCCATTAGAGAGCAAGAAGAAAGGGAGTACTATCAGATTTGGGATTTATTTTATAGATGGTTGGAAAATAAAATGAGAAATTAAATGACGCGGTAACAATGTAATATTATGATATATAATGCTGGATAGATTACAATACAAATGTAAACTTAGTAAGAAATGTATACAAATATTAATACGTGCACAGGATACATGTACAGACGACACACTGTATAACTGAAATAGGGTTTTATTTGATGTTTTTGTATAAAAATAAAAAAAACTATTTACATGGGGGAGGGGAAAGATAGCAGGCTGGAAGAGACACCCTATTTCTATGCCAAAGTCACAGTTATTGTGTATGAACACATGTTCACCTGGACAGCAATTTTAATATGCACATTTAATCGTGGCTCGTTTCCATGCTGGTTTTGAGGGGGGAAAGACTAGCTGTTTTCCATAGGTGGTATGGCTCCAAAGAGATTAAACCCAAGGTTGATCTGATAAACAGAAAAGCCCCTTTGTAGCCAGGGGGGCATATTCTGCCTTCCTCTCTTTGGCTAAGCTCCATTCAGACTCTCAAACATAGCCAGGAATTTGGCTCCAAACACCGAGAAGTGGAAGCAAGCTTGCAAATAAAGCTGTTATACTTTGTCTCATATTTTAAATTCTGCTAAGGCTGGAAACGGGCAGGATTCCCAGTCACCCCCCCCCCACCCCTAGAAGATGTTATGAGGAGACAAGGATCCCAAATCCAAGTTTATTTTATAAGTGAGTGGGGCGTGGGGGAAGGAGGCAGAGGATTCAAACGGCGGGAGGACAGGACTTAACCCCTTCCTCTCCAATTACCCTTTCCCCCCCTTCTTCTTCCTCATTACCAGGTTTACAAAATAAGTCCAGCACGATGGCAAGGAAGAGAGTTGAGCCAGGGGTAGAAAACTGGCACAAGGAAGTCGATTCTAGGAAAGCTCTGAAGTCATTATGGATGAATTCCATAATGCTGTGTATTAAATCAGGGGTGGTCTCCAACCTCGGCCACTTTTAAGCCCCAAGGACTTCAACTCCCAGAATTGCCCAGCCAGCCAGAGACGTACCTTGATTGGCGAGTACCACTTCTGTGGTGAGGAGGACCTGCGGTTGCTGCTTCCGAGATTCCTTGGCTCTGGGAATTCGTACTCTTGTTCTGGCATCTTGATGCGGGCGTTCTTGGCCTTCTCCAGCTTCGCCCCTTCTTCAGTCGATCCCTTTTCTCCCCAACGAACCTGAAAGGGAAAACATCTCCATCTACCTGAGCTGAAAATGGGCGGATTTCAAATGCTGTGCGCAAACCAAACCGGTTGTTACATGGGTTGAATCCCACCACTGGGCAGTGGTCTCCAACCTTGGCAACTTTAAGAGTTGTGGACTTCAACTCCCAGAATTCCTCGGCCAGCAATTCCTCGGCCATCCCGATTGAAGAATGCAGACTCTTCCTGTGTCCAAGCAGAAAAGCCTTGGAGGACCATGTCCTCCAAATGGGAGGGAAGGGGACATGCCTTCACTTGGCCTAGAGTGGCCAATGGAAGCTGGTTGATCGCCCAAGTCCTCTGACAATTCACCAGCAAAAAGACTGGTGAAACACATTAGCTTGTTGGCTTTTTAGGGAGAAGACCATGAGGAGCTCCGAAGCTGTTGGCCTAGACCTGCTTCTGAGGTGAGTTGGGGAGAAGATGAAGGCAACAATTATGGAGCGGGGATGGGGCAGAAAAAGGAAAGCAAAACATTTTAGAGAAACTAAGATGATCAAAGTCCTGCAGATGAAAACATAGACCAGAGGTCTCCAAACTTGGCAACTTTAAGACTTGTGGACTTCAACTCCCAGAATTCCTCAGCCAGCTTCAATTCTGGGAGTTGAAGTCCACAAGTCTTAAAAGTTGCCAAGTTTGGAGGCCCTTGCTTGGTCTAAGGAGACATAAAGATGGGGATTTTGCTTCAGAGACTCTTTGATCTCATCAAATTCACCAATGGAAGGATTACATTGGAGACTTTGGAGGAACATACCAGTGGAAAATCTTGAGTTTACAAGTCCTCAACAGTTGGAGATGATCCCCAGAACTCTTCTTAATTCTGCTAGCGAACTGCAATGTTTCTCTCTCTCTCTCTCTCCTCCTGGCCCTAAAATTCCCGGAAGCCTTATCAAGGAACCCAACCAAGCCAGCAGTTGATTCAGAGTTACCTCCCCCTTTCCTGTTGCAGATAAATTAGCCAGAAAGCTTTATATACTTAATTACTAGCCTTATCAGTTAGAAAAGGAAGAGTGAAAGCTGTGATACTTCAATAATTTCTCTGGGAAGACTGGCTTCTATTGCTTGCTACACGTCCATGCCACCCATCTTGCCTAGAGGTGATTCCAGGCACTTCATAACCACAAAACCCACAAGATAAAACATCAAAATGCTTACACAATAAATGCGCCTTCCCCATCCCAAAGGGTGTAAAAGCTATGCTGGTGAGGGGAGAACAAGGGATGCCTGCTAGTAAGATTGAACACAAATCACCGGGGCCTGACGGATTACATCCCAGAGTTTTAAAGGGGCTGGCAGAGGTCATCTCAGAACCACTGCACCGTATCTTTCAAAAATCCTGGAGCACCGGGGAACTACCAGAGGACTGGAAAAGAGCTGATGTGGTTTCCATCTTCAAAAAAGGAAGAAAAGAAAAACAGACCCAGGAAACTACAGACCAATCAGCCTAACATCAATAGCCAGGAAGATACTGGAAAAGATAATAGAAAAAAAAAAACAGTCACCACACTATAAAAAAGATGTTGAGACTCTAGAAAAAGTACAGAGAAGAGCAACCAGGATGATGAGGGGACTGGAGGCTGAAACCTATGATGGACGGTTGCAGGAACCAGGGGAGACAGGAGAACAATCTTCCAATATTTGAAGGGCTGCCCCAGAGAGGAGGAAGGGGTCAAGCTATTATCCAAGGCATCCGAAGGCCAGACAAGGAACAATGGATGGAAACTGATCAAGGAGAGAGATTCAACCTGGAAATAAGGAGAAACTTTCTGACAGGGAGAACAATCCACCCATGGAACAGAAGTTGCCTTCGGAAGTTGTGGGAGATTCATCTCTGGAGGCTTTCAAGAAGAGAGTGGACTGCCACCTGTCAGAAATGGTGTAGGGTCTCCTACTTGGGTGGGGGGGTTGGACTAGATGACCTACAACGTCCCTTCCAACTCTGATTATCTGTTATCTGTTAAGATAGGACTGGCTGTGGGATGCTGGCACTGGAAGGAGGAACTCTCTTCCTCCCTGAAGGGACAAGCCAGAATGGGGAACAGGGCCGTAGTTTTCCTCATAGTCCTTGGCTCTCTTTGTCCCCTCCTCACAACAAAGTGGCAGGCAGTTCCAGGGTCAGCTGAGGAGGAGAAGGAAGAGGCTTCACCGGGGCTCTGCTGAGGGTTGTGAGGGGAAGGGAATGTAGGAGATGAGGAGGCACAGCCCGAGGGCAGCGTCAAATGCATCATCAGTTTGGAGTCATTGTGTTCTCAGAAGAGACCTAAGTTCAGCTCCCCATGAATTCCATTCTCCATCATCCAGGTCATGGTTGCCCTGGGAAAGTTGCTTTTCCAAAAGGCAACTGGACTTTCTTGGTTTTTTTTTCATTGAAACTTGAGAACTGAACCTGGTATTCATTGAACCTGGGGACATTCAAATAAATTTGGTTCAAGCAGATTGTGTTTATAAACTGGCCTGTGGGGAATTTCCCCCTTCAGTGTTGTGGTTAGCTGGCAGCAGGTGCGGATGACTGAGGAGAGCGAGGACTCGGATGAGGGTCCAGGACCATTGGGGAGTGGACTGCTGCCTTCAGAGATTGTGGGGGCTGGCAGCAGTGATGAGGAGGTTCCCAAGGAGCCTGAGCCAAGTGCACGTGCACGCAAGGTTGCTCGCAGGAAAGAACAGTTGCAACAGCACGGGCGACTCAGGAGTAAGGCTGCAAGGTAATGACCCCACTTTCAAGAAGATAAAAGCCAGCTGTGAAACGAATGTACTTTGCAGAAGGCAAAGACGTTTTGAAACTCCAGCCTCGGGGACATTCCAGTATCCTGAGTATGTATTTGAAGATTGTTGTATTGCAAATTATGTCTTGTCTGTTCTCTTTTGGCAAGTCTCACACAGTTTGGCAAGGCTTGTGCTTATCACAGCTAATTATTTTGTAAAAGCATTAAAAGGTTTCTGTTCCTTTTGGATTGTGTTTGATTTGTTGGCAATCGGAAACAGGGAGCAGCTTACCTCCATCCGCTTAATGCCTCCAACTCCACGCCCGCCATAATAGGAAGCATCCACCGTTGGCCACTTCTTTTTGGGAAGTCCATCATCATCTTCCTCCTAAAAGAGAGAGAGAGAAAATATGGGCATCAACATTGAGCTATGAGAAGTTCTAATCCTTGGATTGAAAGAAGATGTTGTGAAGAACTCCATTTACATTTTAAAATAAAAATCTTCTGGCTTATACCATTGTTTATTCAGCCATTACTTTATTGGTTACCAGACAAATCAGACATTATTTTGGAGTTTGTGTCGACTTTTCCTCTTCCCAGATTTTATTTATCCTCTGAAGCAAATTGTCTCCGTTTCCCCACTTCTTTTTCTCCTAAAATGAAAATCTGACTCAAAAGTTCCCCCGGTGAATTAGCAAAGCATAATATTCAGAGGATATATAGCTACATTTAGGTAGTTATGTTACATTTTCTACTTCATAAGGGAAATATTTGGAAGAACAAAGCCAGCAGAATTTCATCACCACAACGGAGATGTGCAAAAGCATTTTGGTTCAGAGGTTTTGCCACCTCCTCTGGACATGTTCCTGCCTAGATGTGGTTTGTCCAGCAGGAAAGAAAGCCCAGCCTTGGAATAGGCTTATTATTTTTGTTTTATTTACTTACTAGCTCGATACCCGTGCTTCGCTACAAAACTACGGGCTTAGTTTTTGGGGAGGAAAATAAGGGGAAAAATATTCTGCCTCTGCCTACCAGCATCCATCGGTATTCATCTGGCTAGCTTCCTGCCAGTCTGTGAGAGAATTGAGGGTTGTTTGGAAACTGAAGCAGTATTTGCTGTGTGACCAAGAAAGAGACAGCAAGGAGCCTGGGCGTGGCTTAGCTCAACTGTTCTGGACTAAAGCTGCTTGGTGCTGTGAAACTGAAACTGAAACTCTTCTCTGCTTGTGTTTTGCATTTGGAAGAGATTTCTTTCCAGGTGGGGAGGGGGAGTAGAACTCCTTAGCATCAGAGCGTGTTAATAATAATAATAATATAGGAAATACTCTAAATGCTCTGATGGTCATTTCGAAAAATCCTTTCTTAGTGAGCCCCTAGAAGCCAAGAGGAACATACGGTTCCAATTTCAAGTTTGTAGGCTTGACGGTTCTGGAGATTTTGTGGTGATGCTTGAGTGGTATTTCGCTTTTAGGTATATAGATTTTGCTGAATGGCTTGTCTGCAGGAGTTGAGGGCTCCATCACTGGAGGCTTGTAAGAAGAGACTGGGCAGCCATTTGTCTGGAATGGTATTGGTACAGAGTCTCCTGTTTTAGCCAGGTCCCTTCCAACCCTGTTCTGTTATTCCATTCCCCAAATGGCCTTCTAGGAATCTATTACCTAATGGTTTGCCTTTGTGTTGTTTTAAAAGCCAAAAATAGATTTTGCTGCTGAAATTAAAAGAGACACCTGAACACCCTTTCCAGCTTCCTGGTGCCCAGATGTGCTGACCAACAAAACCAGTGAGGGATAATGGGAGTTGTAGGTCAAAACATCTGGAGAAGACCCCACAGTGAGAAAGGAAGTTTGGGTTTGTCTTGGCAAGGGTTCAAAACATCCCACATGTTTATTGACAGGTGCTAGCAGACAAAACATCCGTCTGAAGGGCCTTTCTCAGTTTGTTACCAACATGTCTTTGCAATATTTTTTTTGCCTACTATGTCCTTCTCTGGCGCTTCCGCTCCATCCTCAGTCCATGAGTTAGGCTTTCAACTCCCAGCAAAGCTGGCTGAGGAATTCTGGGAGTTTAAGTCCATAAGTCTTAGTGGCCAAGGTTGGGGACCCCTGACTTAGATGACCCTTCTGGTCTCTTCTAACTCTATCATTCATGGATGGCTGAGGAACTCTGGGAGGTGAAGTCCACAAGTCTTAAAGTGGCCAAGGTTGACTTAGATGACCCTTCTGGTCTCTTCCAACTCTATCATTCATGGCTGGCTGAGGAACTCTGGGAGGTGAAGTCCACCAGTCTTAAAGGGGCCAAGGTTGGAGACCCCTGCTCTATTGCAGAAGACTCCAAAACTTGACAACTTTAAGACTTGTAGACCTTCAACTCTTCAAGCTCCTTTTTGGTTCTGTTAAGGGGAGACTTAAGGGCCCTGTTGCTGAAGGTGGCCATCTGGACTCCTTTCCTTCTCTCCCACGTCAGTTCTTGGTCTTACTAACAGGAAGCATTGCGTCAATCCCCTTCACACCATCCATTACGGTGGGAAAGGATCCTTGCCGTCTGTTGAGCTGGAAGCGCTAAAAGGGAACCTCCTCTGGCTTCTTGGTTCTATCTCAAGACGTGTTTCGGGACAAAGCCCAAGGAAGGAAAGGTATAAAGGTTCTCCGTCTCTACTCTCCCAACTTCCATCAACAATTCGCCACACCTTTCTCCTGCACAGCAGGGGCAGACTTCTGGGCTCCTTGCCAACTGGTTCTCCCTTCCCTTCCCTCCTGGGGACGTTTTTCAAAAGTTAACTTCTAAGTTCCCTTTTATTTGACTCCAAAGCAAGCCAGCCAAGAAGTTTCGGGTCAGAGGAGCGAACAGCAGCCACCGCCGCACCCCCTAGAAAGGGTCCCTTTCAAACAGCAAAGGTGGAAGCAGATGTGGGAGGAGATGCAGATGTCTTGGAGGGAGCTCATAAATCACCTTTGCTGAGCTAAGAGCTCTGTTTTCCATTGATCCTGGCCTGCCAAAACTTTGCTGGGTATCTTTGAAGCTAAATGGATATCAGATCTAAGCACTCTCTCTCTC